TTAGTCAGCCAGTTACAAAATCTATAATAATTTAATCTTTGGGGAAATTTCCACTGATTCGAACATACCCTCCCAAAGTAGGAGGACTGCCAACGACTGATTTCATACAAAACTGGTTCACTCCCATTAAGTAAAACTTAACACTATCAACTAACTTTAGAGAGGTAGCACACACACGCACACACACACACACACACACACACACACACACACACAGTCTAAAAACTTAGACCCTAACAAAACAAATAAAAGAACTCTGACCATATATATTCAGTGTTTCCATCCTGATTCTGCTGTTTATTAACAATGTGGCACTAAGAAAGCAGAGTGTAATTTGAAGTGGGAATTTAAAAATATATTAAGGATAGCTCAGCAAGTAAGAGCCTTTGCGATTCTTGCGGAGGACCCAGGTTTAGTTTCCAGCACCTACATGGTGGTTTAGAATTGTCAGTATCTCCAATTCCAGGAGATCCAAAGTTCTCTTCTGGCTCCCATCAGGCACTGCACACACATGGTGCACAAACATACATTCAGGCAAAACATTCATATACAAAAATAAAATTTTAAAAACCTCAAGAATATGCTGTGAAAATAATATTATAAATCCTGGCATGCAATAGGTACTCAACATTAGGTAAGTAAACAAAATGTTTTTAAGCAGATAGGGGTTCTTTAATTAAGTTGTTAATAACATATGGGCAGCTCCTGAAAACGCTGTATTTACACTCCTGCCTTTCTCTCAACAATTCCTAACCTGAGATCTAGCAGTGAACAATTCTATCCACTAAGTGTGTATTTAAAGTTACATCAAAATGCATAGATATAAACGTTGATGAGGCAAGGCCTTACTTATCTATTATTTAATTTATAAGAAACAGTGTTTCCTGAATAAATAAAAAGTAGTTGAGGAACTTATAAACAAACTTAAGAGATATATCAAGCAATTACAACAATAAACAAACTGCTCCAGTTACAAATCTCTTTAGATCTTCAAAAACTTTTAATAGCCGCAGATGTGGTAGAGGGGAAATTTCAATACCGTCTGAATGGCTGATTATTAAGAAACTATTATTAGCAAAAATAAACATTTATTAGTAGTTGTTACTAATGATTTTATATAAGCAATTTTACTCCTAAATATTTTAATTTTGATCTGAGTTGTTGGAACTGATATTAGATACTAGACTCAGAGCCTTTAATCCCAGCACAAGGAGGGAGGCAGGTGGAGCTCTGTGGAGTTCAAGGCCACCTTAGTCTACTTAATAGAGTTCAAGTCTACGTAATAGGGTAACAAAGACACTGTCTCAAAAAAACAAAAACAAAACAAACAAGACTTGTTTAAAATAGGGTAGAAGTAGAAACTTGACAAGACTCACCATTTGTTAGCAATTACTGAAGCTGGATGATAGTTACATGGATAAGTCATATAATTCTTTTTACTTGTGATATTTACTTTTTAAAAAAATATTTATTTATTATGTATACAATATTCTGTCTGTGTGTATGCCTGCAGGCCAGAAGAGGGCACCAGACCCCATTACAGATGGTTGTGAGCCACCATGTGGTTGCTGGGAATTGAACTCAGGACCTTTGGAAGAGCAGGCAATGCTCTTAACCTCTGAGCCATCTCTCCAGCCCCATGATATTTAATTTTTATGTAATAAACAAATTAATCTGGTAGCAGATGTTCGAGAGGCGAAAGTAGGACCTAGAAGTTGAAGCCAGTCTGAGCTACATAGCAAGATTCTGTTTTAAAATATAAAAATAAAATTCAAACAAAAAAATTCGCAATTTTCACTAAGCAGAGACAATTTTAAAGGCTACTTGAAAGTTTAATAAAAATAAAATTAAGAAAATAAAAAATATAAAGACTTACTGTAGGACTGGACCATAAAGTAGTTTAGTTTCTAAGGGCTGAAAAATAATCAAAATATATATGCCCCAAGATAATCACTAAGATCACGTATGTACCTTGGAGCTATCTCTCCTATGCTCCCCATTCTTATCAATCCAAATTTATTATTCTTGACCCTCAGGGAATCCATGTGACTATGGGTTTTAATTCTACACCGTATCTTTTCTTATTTTTCTATAGTCTTTCCTCCCATTTGGACTTTCTTTTCTTTACTTTTTTTTTTTTTTTTTTAGTTTTTTTTTTGGTTTTTTTGAGACAGGGTTTCTCTGTGGTTTTGGAGCCTGTCCTGGAACTAGCTCTGTAGACCAGGCTGGTCTTGAACTCACAGAGATCCGCCTACCTCTGCCTCCAGAGTTCTGGGATTAAAGGCATGCGCCACCACAGTCCAGCCCATTTGGACTTTCAACCACAAATTTCAAATGGAACAAAGGTAAAACAATAAAAAAGCCGGATATAAATGAGGGCTTATTAAGTTAGTCACAGCAATTTTTTTTCCTTTTGCTGACCTCTAAACTATCACATTTCAATGTTCATTAGCTCCTGTTTCCTTGGAAAACAACCCAAACTGTGGGGGTACCGATATATTAAAAGTACTGCTTCTTTATAGCTTTCATTAAGAAACTGGACAGTCTTATTCAAACCTTACAACAGCAAGGCACAGTGAACTAAGTATTTCAGGCTCTGACACTCAGGAGCTGAGTTCATGTATTCAATACTGATGCATCCAATACATGCCTGTTACTTAGACACAAAGAGTAACATAATTGTTTAATTATTACAAAGCAAGCTCAAGTCAGCAATTCCAGCTCTTGGAGTTACCACCCTGCCTCCTGCCTCCAAGTCCAAGGCCACCCTGCTCTGATCTACATAATGAGTTCTAAGATAGTCTGTGCTACCCAGCAAGATCTTGTAAATAAATAATCAACAAACTATTACAACAGATTCTGGTAAGTGAAATAAAAGGAATGTATAAACTTGATAGATGTAAAACATTGTCAAGTTTGATAACTTTCAATTCTATTAATTTAATCTAAATTCCTTTTTTAGTTGAAAGGGAGTATCTATAGGCTGCAATTTTCTATGAGGTGATATTACCTAGTCACATTAAACTTAAAAAAAAAAAAGTACAGCTGAAATTCATTAAGAAACATCTATGGATAGGAGCATTCCATACTCCATCTCAGTGGTCATGCATATAACAAGAAATACCAAGAAGCAAGTAGTATTACTTTACAAATAAGAAAACAAAGTTCAGAAAAACTAAAGCAATTAATGTCTCACAAATAACAATAAGAAAATAACCGATTCGAATACATAACTTCTGGTTCCAAGGCCTATTCTCTGTACATTAAACTCGTCATTTTTGTCTATTACATAAAAATTAAAGTGTCGAAAATATCCTTAGAAAACTCTTAAGACATCCTGAAAGAGGTGACTGAAAACCTTTTTTAAGCACACGCCACAACAAAAGCAAAAACTAAAATAAAATTAGTATACACAGTAATACATGCGTGTCAAATGAATACATTCTGAAACAGTTTATCAAAAGAAATGAAGACTTGCGATTTCTTTCAGCTGTTTTATCTTTACCCACTGGTTTCAACACAAATAACAAGGCAGGGAATGGCCTAGCATATTATAGAGTATTACATTTTGGATTCCACATATCTGAAAGTACACATTACAGAATATGGGAATATAAAAGTCAAATTTTATAAAGCAGAATGCAATATATGCCCATTAAATCTCAATTGTATAATCATTAACAACATTTAGAAGAACGTAACAAACAAGTTTTTTTTTTCTGTGTCAACGTCCTTATATTTGTTGAAATATTTTTCCAGTTTATCATTTTAAACTTGTAAACCGAAGCAGTAAACACAAGGGCGATGGTGGCGCACGCCTTTAATCCCAGCACTCGGGAGGCAAAGGCAGGCGGATCTCTGTGAGTTCGAGACCAGCCTGGTCTACAGAGCAAGTTCCAGGACAGGCTCCAAAGCCACAGAGAAACCCTGTCTCGAAAAACCAAAAAAAAAAAACCAAAAAAAAAAAAAAAAAACACAACTTCCTTGAAAAACGAGTTAGCCCTTCATACACAACGACGGGAATGGGGTGGAGATTGTGTGTGTGTGTGTGTGCGCGCGCGCGCGCGCGTGCACAGTTTTAAAACTGATTTAGGAAAGATGAATTCGCATGGTTAGATGGATCCCGTTGACAAGCTTTTCTTTTCTTCAGAACTTTTCACACTGAGTATTCCTTTCAGAATTCCCAAACTGCCAAAGGGTTTGGGAATTTATTTAATATTTTAATACTAAATAGCTCAAGGCTACAATCATTGTCTAGCTCAAAGATTTTGTAATACTAAGACTCCCTCATAGGCAGTTACTTCAAACAACAAGGATGTCTGAAACATCCTCGTGGATGAGAGTCAGTAGTATAGACATCTTCTCTTGGAACAAAACAGGCCCAAGTCTGGAAACCACACCAACACTGGCAGTTATCCCTGAGGTGCGGTGTTCACGACTCCTCTTAAGAATGTGGAAGTGTCACCGCCATTTACGACATCCTAGAGCCGACATTCTCGGCTGCACTGCTCACTGGGGCGCTTGGTCCGCAACACCGCACGCCCCCACCCCAGCCCCCCTCAAGGACGCGGTTCCAGCAGGGCTAAGGGAGCACGCGGCCCACAGGGGCTCCGAAAGGCGCCCGAGCGCGGCGGCCGCCCCGACCGGCTCGCTGTCAGGCCGGAGGAGCGGCAGAATCGCGGCGCAGAGGAAGGGGCGTCCGGACCTCCCCGAGGGCGCCGCCCGCTCCTCCGTAGGGCGGCGGCATCTGGCGGCTGCGCCCAGCAGCACTGCGGCGCGACGGCGCGGTCGGTGAGTGGCGAGGGGAACGGACTGCGGCCCAGGCCCACCCAGGGGTCCCTCCGCTCTGCCTGCCCCCGCCGCCGCCATTTTGTGCGCAGCCGCTGCGACACATACAATAGTCGACCGCGACCTCAGAGGGACGGCTCGGGGCCTGCGCCCAGGGCCTCTGCCTTCCAGCCCACGGCTCCCCGCAAGGCAGCCGTCCTACCTATGCCTACCGACTAACAGCTGGGTCTCATCCGTGCCCCACACAGTTTAGCACTCGGCCTCCAGTCACGACGACGAAGCAGCCACCTCCTCCATAGGGCTACACGCATGCGCACCTTCTCTTAGCTCCCTAGTCCACTCATCGCGCCTGCGTGCCTCGGGTCAGACGTTCGCTGGAGACGCTAGCGACTCGGGCTGGGCCGCACTCTGCCTACAGGGGGCGATCGCCTGATTTGGCGGGCCCTGAAGCTGTAGCGGTCGGGGTACCATCATTCAGGTCCTTGCCCGCCACCCCTCCCCCACTCCATCCCCGTCCCGCAAACCAGGCTGGTCTTTAAGCCTCCTCTTTGTCCTGAACTCTTCCCTGATCACTATTTCCCCAGAATCACAAAGTAACGTTCACGTCGCACTTATTAGCATAATAATTTAAATATGTTAGGCATCCCCAGACTTCATCCCTTAACCTTTTTTTCTTTTGAGATTTCGGTCTCACCAGGCAGCCCTGAATGGTCTGAAACTTCCTATGCAGAGTAGGCTGGTTTCAAACTGAACAGATTTCACCTGCCTCTGCCTTCCAAATGTCGGAATTAAAGGAGTGTTCCACTACACCCAGACTTACCTCCCTACCTACAAGAGCTAGTTCCAGGATGGGCACCAAAGCTACAGAGAAACCCTGTCTCGAAAAAACAAAAAAATAAAAATACAAAATGGGAAATTAGAATGGAATGAAAACTCACTAAGATAAAAGACCTAACACTGGAAATCCCTTTATATAATTTCACAATTCAAACAAACAAAATACCTGGGTGGTAAATATTTATCTTGATTTTTACCCATGAAAAATTTTGGATTAAGAAAAAAAATTTTAAACTGTCTCTTCAATGCCCTGTCTTCTCAAATTGACTCAATTATGCCAAAGGAAACAGGCACTGCAAAAAAAAAAAAAAAGGCAAAATTCAATCCTTGCCAACTAGGTAACATAACACACAGTGACACCCTGCTTTGAGACTTTCACAACTGTTTTACAGACCACAATATTCACACCAAAACAAGTATAGGAAGCCTGGCTCGGTGGTGAACACCTTTAATCCCAGCTCAGGAGTCAGAGGCGGGTGAATCTATTAGACTAGCCTGGGTCTACAGATTCCATCTCAAAGGCCAGTCTGGGATACGCAATGAGTTTGAGGCCAAGTGAGTGAGAGGGTAAGACACTGCCTCAAACAGGAGCTTCTTTAATATCTCTTTCTCACATCTAGTGACTTGACTGTCTTTTATCAGAAGATAATTCTTTAAGAAAAGCTTGTTTTTGTCAGGCATGGTGGCACACACCTTTAATTCCAGCACTAGCATTCGGGTGGCAGAGGAAGACAGATCTCTGTGAACTCAAGGCCAGCTTGATCTAAGTAGAGAGTTCAGTAATGGGAACTGAACTTGAACCATCTGGAAGAAAAACAGTACACACTCTTAACCATTGAGCCATCTCTCTAGCCCAGAAGGTAATTAATATATATATAAAGAATATCTTCTATGTGTATTGATGGTATAGAGGTATGCCTTACAAAGAATATTTATCTTTTGTTAAATTTAGTTTAACTCCTTTAATATTTTCTCTCTCTCTCTCTCTCTCTCTCTCTCTCTGTTTTGTTTTTCGAGACAGGGTTTCTCTATGTAACAGTCCTGGCTGTCCTGAAACTAGTTCTTGTAGACCAGGCTGGTGGCCTCAAACTCACAGAGATCAGCCTGCCTCTGTCTCCCAAATGCTGGGATTAAAGGCTTGCGCCATCACAGCCTGGCTAACTTCTTTAATATTCCCTGTCTCTGCCATTCTAAACTTTAAATTTTCATGCAATCAAATCTATCTGTAGGACTCAGCCATGACAAGCTCAACAGAGGCCCAAATCTCAGTAGTTTACCCTAAGGCAATACCTGGTTCCAAGAAAGCCCACAAACAGAGACCACCCAGGCACCACCCAAAAACAGGCCATCCAGAGGAAATTCCTAATATTCCAAACATTGTAGATAGGATCACCTGTCAAAACACACCCATTGCTTTTCACCAGGACATCCCTAGACAAATGTCAGCCAATCAGGGGTCCTGAACCTTAGAAATCCCTCACCCCAACCTTTGCTATTATAAAAACTCAACCCAACTGAGCTCAGGGCTCTCTGATCATGCAAACACATTGGACACACAGAGAGTCCAAGTTTGAACTTGAATAAGAATAAAGGCTCTTTGCTTTTATCTACAGTACTAGGACTCCTAGATAGTTTTTGGATCTGGGCATAACTATCCTTTTTTCTTCATGACTTCTGCATTTTCTTTGTAGTCTAGAAAGCCCGACTCTATCTCTTATGTGGTGTTTTGAATAAGAATTGCCCCCAAAAACTCATATATTTAAATGCTTAGTCATCAGGGAGTGGCACTATTTAAGAAGGATTACAAGGTGTGGCCTTGTTGGAGGAAGTATGTCACAGGGGAATGGGCTTTGAGGTTTCAAAAGCCCACACCAGGGGAAACACGCCTTGCTTTCCCTCTCTCTGCCTAGGGATCAGGAAGTGCCTCTCAGTTACTGCTTCAGCCACTGCCTCTGTGCCTCCATGCTCCCTTCCATGATAATGGATAACTCTCTGAAACTATAAGCAAGCTCCCCAGTTAAATGCCTTACATGAGCCGGACGGTGGTGGCGCACGCCTTTAATCCCAGCACTCGGGAGGCAGAGGCAGGCGGATCTCTGTGAGTTCGAGACCAGCCTGGTCTACAGAGCTAGTTCCAGGACAGGCTCCAAAACCACAGAGAAACCCTGTCTCGAAAAACCAAAAAAAAAAAAAAAAAAAAAAAAAAAAAAAAAAAAAAAAAAAATGCCTTACATGGTGTCTTTTCACAGCAAGAGAACAGTGACTAAAACTGAAGCTGGTACTAGGGACTGGAGAATTGCTGAGAAAAGCCTAACCATATGAATAAATATGAAAGAGTTTGGGATTTTAAACAAGAAAAGTGGTTAGATGCTTTAAGCAGGGCTTAAATGGGCCATACTAGTAGGATCATGGAAAACAATACTGAGGGCAGTTTGAGCTGTGAGGGTCCAGTTCAAGAAGTTTCAGAGGGGAAGAATATTAGTAAGTGGCCTAGAGACCATTCTTGTGATATTGTGGCATGAATGTGGCTGCTTTTTGTCCTTGTCCTAAAAATCTTCCTGAGGCTAATCTGAAGAGTTTTGAATTAATGACACTGGCAGGGGAGATTTCAAAACAGCCTAGTGTCATGTAGTTATTAGTAATCATTCTTATTTAGATCCATATGGAAAGAAGCAAGATGGACAAATAGAAATACAAAATGTACAATCTGAGGTAAAAAGGAGTACCAGGAAGCATAATGGAGCTAAATCCAGCACTCAAGGAGATAGAAAGTTTAAAGAAAAGTCTGATGTTAAATGGGATAAAGGGTGTGGCAACCTCAGGGCAAGGACCTACTCAACTAAACTTCCAGTTTATGAAAAGAAATTAAAAGAAATCTTAAACTGGTAGGGAAACCATCAACAACAGAAAACTGTGGCAAATGTAATAAAAAGAGGGAGACAAGTTCCAGTCCCAGCAAGCAGCAGAACTAAGCAATGTCAGTCACAACAATATGGTTCTGATTTTAGAGTTAAGGATATAAGAAAGGGGTTATTGAATCTCTCTCCATGGCTAAGGAAAGCTCCTGAGGCCAGGCTTATGTCAGGAGGTCCAGAGAGGTCATTTCACGAAGCTATGAAGGCAAGGTTTGAATTGTGTTGGAGATGCCAGAGTCATAGAATACCTGCCAAGGAGAGCAGCAGACCAGGTGTGGAGCCAGCTCGAGAGAGAAGTGTGTTGCAGTCAACAAAGCTGGAAGGAGATGGAGTTCTAAAGAGCGTTTTGACACTGAACATGGAGATCCAGAATTTGGTACTTACCCTGCTGGTTTGGGGTCTTGTTTTGGTCCAGTATTTCCTCATTATGCCCCCTTTATTCACCTTTGAAATGGTAATGTATATTCTGTGCCATCGTGTGTTGGAAGTCTGTTATCTGCTTTTTTGTTTTACAGGGGGTTACAGTTGAAAAATTGCAATGAGTTTCAAAGACTTTGAACTTGGAATTTTTAAACAGTGTTGAGACCATAATAGACTATGGGAACTTCGTTGAGGTTTCAAAAGCCCTTGCCAAACACAGTGTTGCCCACTCTCTTTGCCTGCATATCAGGATATAGCTCCCACCCTTCTTCACCTTCCTGCTGCCATGCAACCTGCCACCTTCCTTTCTGCAGCCATGGTCCCTGCCATGATGATAAGACACTAAGCCTCTGAAACTGTAAGCAAGCCCCCAATTAAGTACATTTTTTATAAGAGTTGCCTTGGTCATGGTGTCTCTTCTCAGCAATGGAATTGTGACTAAGACACGTTAGAAGAACAAATTCCCAAAAATTATATAAAAGTCTCTAATATTTCTAAATTTTTATTTACGACTGTCCTAGTTACTTTTAATGGTCTATTTGACAGAGCCTTAAGTCATCTGAGAGCCTCATATGAGGAAGCAAGAGGCATCAGATCCTCCCAGAACCAGAGTTAAAGGCAATAGTAAGCTGTCTGACATGAGTACTGGAAACCAAACTAGGAAGTATTGTTGTGGAATATTATTTTAACTGGACTAAGATGTGTTATATTTGTTTATGCTTCAGAATATTACTTTAACTATGTAAAGGTTTGTTACTTTTGTTTATGCTAGCCAGAAACATGCCTAAAGCTTGACTGAGCATTCAAAATTAATTAAGTCTCTTTGTCATGATTTGGGAGCTGGTTGGTGGCCCAAAAGAAAAGCTTGGTGCAAAGTGTCTTTCTTATAATTGATAAAGGAGAACCCTGTCCACTATGGACAGTATTATCCCTAGACAGGTGGTTCTAGACAATGTAAGAAGGCTAGCTAAGCCATGAGCAAGGCAGCAAACACTGTTATTCTATTGTTATTTTATCCAAGTTCATGCCTCCAAGTTTGGGCTTTGATATCTTTCAGTGATAAATTATGACCTGGAAGTATAAGCTTAATAAACCCTTTCTAACCCAAGTTTCTGTTGGTCATGGTGTTTGGTCATAGCAACAGAATGCAAAGTA